ATGTTGACCTCTTAAAAATGTGACATGAAGAAGATACAATGAAAGATTAAAATTTGCATCAACTACTGTATCTCACTCCAGAAGCTTAGGGTTTCATCAAGTTATGAGGATTATCAAAACAACTCAGAGACAGGGAAAATAATTACTCCTTATTAGAAATAAGGCCTTTAAGCACAGGTTAAGGTACTTTATTTCTAAACTTATGATAAATGGGTTCTTAGGAAAGCCAAACAAGTCTCTTGCCCATGCCAAGGAGAGATTTATATATTTTCTTATGCTTTAAAAAAAGCACTGAGATTATTCATATTCATAGGCTCTAAGGATTAGAGTAAATTTCTTTACTGAAACTCTAAAGCAGTGTGAACACTTACAGTAAAAATCTCTACAGAAAGCTGCATCTTCAAACTAAAGCACATGCTTAAATGATTGTCTTAGTGGGCAATATTCCAACACACTTTCCATTTTTAACTATAAAAATCACTAATTGTATTCAATATTAGACATTCATTACTTTGATGATAGAAAAGTATCTTTGTCTTTGCCTTCTTTCTTTTCTGCTTTTTGTACTGGATAGAGTAGACAGGATAAGGAAGAAAGAAAAGAAATTCACAGCATTATTTTCTCTTTGGTTTCGGAATCTGTTACTAAACCAAATTAAGTCACTGTATTTTGTTATTTCTAAATAGCAAAATTACATGGATATTTTAGGTCTGCTTGTCTCATATTTATGTAAATAATAAAATATTTATCCTCTTGATTTATTCATTATAATTTATAATATTTGAGACATGTTATTTAAGTAGACCTAAACACTAACAGTTTAGAAATTGTATTTGGATATTATAATTAACAGACGATGAATGGCACATGCCAAAGGAAAACTATAGTGAATATTTAGCAAAATCCAAATAATAGGTAAGAGGTGAGCGAGCAACCAATTAAGAGTGAGCATTAGCCTGCCTTGCAAGTGTGAGGACCAGAGTTCAATCCCCAGTACCAAAAAAAAAAAAAAAAGAAAGAAAGAAAGAAAGAAAGAAAGAAAGAAAGAAAGAGAAAGAAAGAAAGAAAGAAAGAAAGAAAGAAAGAAAGAAAGAAAGAAAGAAAGAAAGAAAGAAAGAAAGAAAGAAAAAGAGTGAATCTCATAGAGGTAACAGTTAATGACATATGACTAATGGTTTTACACAGATAAAGAGATTAGCAATAGACAAGTGGCAAGAAAGAGCCTTGGAATGACTACATTTTAGACAAGAGAAGATAATTATTGAGTGAATATATCCGCACAAATTATTATTGTGGTATAATGAACTCATATAGTGGTTGTAAAAATGAAAATTTTCTATGGTCTAATAGCCTGCAATGGAAAAGAAGAAATAGCATTGATAAGAATCAAAATGTACTGTTGAATGAGTTAAAAGAAAAATCTCTATAGAACAAACCATACAATGGAAGTTAGAGGTGAAAAGAATTTCAAGCAGATGGCTGATGATTTGTTTTAAAACTTTTCCTTTTAGAGGAAAAGTTAAGAAAAGGTTACTAGAGTTCAGAATCAATGAGGGTTTTTCAGGAAAAAGTTATTGCAGAGGTAGGAGCAAGATCCATTTTCTATTTAGAAGGTCAAAAGGAGTGAGAAAGTATATGGAAAGTATCCTTTCAATAAATTTACCAGTGAAGGGCATAGAAAACATATATTCCTAGTTTCAGTGAGTAGTAAAATGGAGTGAATATGTATTTTGGTTTAGAATAGAACTGAATTGAACAGGTTTGCAAGCTCAAGGGAGCAATTTAGAAAATCAAAGGCATAAAATATAAATGCAGTAAATGAGCAAGTGATTGAAAGAGTAGTCAGGGGAGAACTGACCGAGGGAACAAGTCTGTGAATGTTAGCCCACAAAGAAAGTAGATATTCTTCCTGAGAAACAAAAGGAAAGAAGAGGACATGAGAAAGATACATAATGTACTGAGCTAGAGCTTAAGGGAGTTTAGATTTTACCTATTGCCTGATTTCCCAGGATTATTTTTTTAGAAGAATCCAAAAGATTCTTTGAAAAATAGGACAGATGAACAAGTAAACATAGATACAAGTATAGTTAGCAGTTTGTGAATTAAGTAGAGAATTAATAGCATGCATCATAGTATAACCACTTGGCTTCAGCTTATTACCTTGCCAGAAACTGTCTGAGTCTTAGAAGCAGAAGTTGTTAAAGTAACAGGTCAGTTAATTCAGTCACACAGAATTACAAAAAGGGAACTGGAACAGACAAAGCAAAGACAGTACCAAGGGAACTAAACTAGTTTCCAGTTACATGGCAGATCCTTGGAGTGGGAACAGAAAGAAGGGAGAAAAATAATCCCTAAAGGGGTTATTATTTGAGAATATGAATCTACTAAGGAACAACCACCAATGGAGGATGGTAAATGAATTCTGAGAGCAATAGGAGGGATTAAGAAATAGGGAATTATGTTCACAGAAGCTCCAAACCATCTTGAAGCCCCAAATGAGGACATTTATATGGAGATCAAAAATTAAGGACCTCAAGGCTTTAGCTTGAATGAATAATGTCAAAACAGCAACAAAGATAAATTGCCTAACCTCATTAATGGTGTATTATGTGCTGGACGCTGAGCTCAAAGCTTTACTTTATTGAATCCATTTATCTTCGCCTATTTCCTATGTAGTACGAAGTGTTAATTTATAATTAACATTCAGTGCTATGATTGCAGTCTATTTTTCAATATTGAATTGATTGATGGTTTTGATACCATATAGACACAACCCTAAAAAGCAAACAATCTCAACTAATTCAACTATAATCAAAATTTTCTATTTCCTAGACCCTCTGAACACTTAAGGTATATAAAAACATATGCAAGTAGTTCATTAAGGATACTATTGAGCAGGCCAGGGATTTAGCTCAGTGGTTCCACCCCTTGCCTTGCAAGTGCAGGAACCCAAGTTCAATCCCTGGTACCGCCCCCCCAAAAAAAGTGTACTATTGAGCAATGAACTTAGAACAGAATGTGTTGCATGACATTTGCCATGGCTATAGGTATTAAATATTATAAGGCATAGACTTTAGACTATTTGAGACAGCTAGGTGACATTGCAGGCAAAAATTCCTCTGTAAAAGCATCTGACTATAGAAAATACAGGATTTCTTTGAGGAATTTTTTGTTTGTTGTTACTTTTCAAATAAAAGTTATTTTAGTTATTCTTAATGTTAAATATACTTTTTACCATTTATTCTTCATTTTTCACATGCCGTATTTATAGGAATTACCAACCATAATGTGAAAATATTGCATGTATTTAAATTAAAATATGTTAGTAATTTATCAGTAAGCGTATAAGGAGACATGCTCTCTGAACTGATCATTAAAATGCATCACTTAACACTGTTAGACATTTGGCTGCATTATAATAAGGTAATTGTAGCAATTTTTGTTCATAATTTTATTAAGTAGACTCTCCAGCCTTATAATACCTTATATAGTTATTGCCATAGAGTTCTAAAACCCTAATCAGGTGAGGTCATGACGTCTATAATTACCATCTGTTTAGCTTTGTTAGTGTTTCTCATTATACCTCAGAAGGTCAATGATACTGTTCATAACAGGAACCCAGCAAGACTAGAAGTAATAAAACAGCTCTGAGACTTAGTAAGGCTCTTCTACTCCAGCTGATGGACAGTTAATTACCTGAGTATGAAACAGTGAGAGCATTGGGAAAAATAGAGAATTCTACAATATGTTTGAAATCCAAGTGCAATATTATTTGGCTCTTTTTTCAGTGAACTGTACTATTTAATTAGAAAGCATGAAAATAACCACTGGCAGAGGAGGATATAGTTTCAAGAAAAGTGACATATTTGGTTTTTCAGTAATCTCACAGACTACTCAAATGAGCATTCCAAACTAAGCTACTACATCAGTGCTTCTTCTCTTTGGTGGTGTGCTAGAATCATCCGAGGACTCTGCAATATCAGTCACTCCTTACTTCAGGCCAATTAAATCTAAATCTGTGGGAGGTAGTAACCAAATATGAAGCTTTTTTTGGATCCCCCAAATGTTAATATGTTGTAAATGTCGGGAATCACTGTATTACAACTGATTTTATGTAACATAATTAATTTTATTCAAAAAGTCATTGTGGCCAGTATGAGTCTATCTGTGAACAACAGAATTTTCTTTTTTTTCTTTATTTCACACTGCTTCTAAAGACTTGGGTAGCTCACACATTAAAAATCGCCTTTAATCAATATTTTTGTTTTAATCAATCATTTAAAAGCTTATCATCTTATTTCTTAGTTCCTGTAAAGAAATCTCAAACTAAGAACCAAAATGGCTTGTATTTCTAGGAAAAAGTATTAGAAGCCATGCTGATAGTCCTAAACCTCTCAATACCATATGGGATTTGAATTTATCCATAAGGTCAAATGATTAATCCTGCTCTTTTAATTAGATTAAGAATAAGCAATGAGATATAAATCTTTTATGTTTAAATATACTTTTATAATTATATTTTTTCTGTAAAAATTTATGCCATTTAATACTTTTAACATTTAAATAGTCTATGGATCTTTTCATACAGAAGGCATTTATTGAGTTTCCTAGAATTCATATTAAAATGATTTGTAATTATGTGAATAAAGATCACAATTGTTAGTTTTGTGACCAGTTAACCTGCTTAAGGACAGTAAAAAAGGCAGCCTTTTCATTAGGCTTTCAGAAAAAATGTAGAATTCCCAGTATGAAGTGGCCATTGTGTCTATTGCTTTCTGATAAACAAAACATAGACTAATCTAAATTGAATTTTAAAGAAAATATGAAAAAAGTGAAACATTTAAATTTTAAATCCTCACACCTTGGCTTTGTGTTTCTAATTAGAAGTACTATTTTTTATATTTAAAATGTCAAACATATTGATACAGTTTCATTAAACACCACAGTGTTTTCAAAAGATATTCTTTTTTGTTTTTGTTTTGTTTTTGTTTTTCAACTAGGACCCCTACTATGGCTGGTGGCCTATTTTCTATTGACAGAAACTACTTTGAAGAGATAGGAACATACGATGCAGGAATGGATATCTGGGGTGGAGAGAATCTTGAAATATCTTTTAGGGTAATTAAATTTTATTTATTTTTTAATTCTGAACATAGTATGCTGTAGCATGCACAGACTAGACCCAGTAATTTACTGTCAAAAATTTTTTACTAAGTGATGCAATTTACTGATCAGTTTGGTCATTATAATGTTTATTTAGAAGCTTTGTAAGAGTCATATTGCATGCAATTCTTGCTGTAAAAAAGTAAATTATACTTTACTATTAATAATATGTAAAATTATACATTTTAAGTTTTCAAAGTTTTTTATTTCTACTAGCAAGACACTAGAGTTTTTAATTGCTGAAGTAATGATTTTTACTTATAAATGAAATATTTTTCTATAAAATTATTTAATGTTTTTGAACTGAAAATTCCAATTGTTTATGTGATCTGAATTTGCAAGTGCTGCTTGAATTTATTTTCAAATAACTTTAAGAATGACTTATGGGCTGGGGATTTAGCTCAGCGGTTCGGTGACCTGCCTTGAAAGTGCAAGGACCCAAGTTCAATCCCCGGGGCCAAAAAAAAAAAAACCCAAAAAAAGAATGACTTCTGATCAAAGATTTCTGGAGCAGCATGACTTTTTAGAACCATGATATTATTGCGTGATGAATGAGTTTGGATAATATAAATTCATTTAGCAAATGACCCTCCAAATAAATGAAAACAGAGGATTTTTATAAATATGATATTAGGAATTATATAAATAGTTTAAATATTTCGCTATATGCAAAAAATTAAAATATAGGCAAACAAATTTGCCTTCATGCAAGAAATACATAAGCATCTGTGTACTATTTTTTCTTCAAACCAGATATGCTATTGTATTTTAAATGAATTACATAAATATTCATAACCTCCTAGAATTTAAATGTAAAATGCTTGAAATGCTCCATTGTTTTGCCCAAATTATTTCTGTAATGAAATTATTAGATTTTAAATATATTTATTTATGAAGTTCATGAATTATTTCTTTTAATTCTTCATTTAGAAGTTTGCTCACATAATGTAAATATATGTGATATATAATTAATATTTAAAAAAAATATCAATTTTTGGAATGTAGAATTTAGTGGATTGTGTATAATTTGAAGCACTTTACAAGCACTAGAAATACTTTGTCACATTATTCTTTATAAGCCTTATAATCAGATGTTTGAGAAAACCATTAATGGAATTTTAATAGAATTTTATTATTTCCATATTTGCTTAGATACTTATAAGTTGATGTAGCCTTACCCGCCCCCCCCCCACAGAATTATCTGCTTATCACCAGGCCTATGATACATCTTTGCAGAACCTTTTAGGGAATTTGGAGAACCAAACCTCTTAATGTAGTTCTTGAAGTGGAAGAAATAAGAAATGATAGGAAAAAAGAGACAAAGAATAATAAAGAAATCAGTATACAAAAAAGTATGAATTTTCAATTTTACCCTTAGATATTATAATGAGAGTGATTATTCATTGATTAAACCATTTACTCTTGATATTATGCTGGACATAAAATAGAAAATAAAATCAAACTAGCAACATCACTATTTCTTTTTCTTTCATAAAATTTTCTTTACCTCCTTCCTTTTTGTTAGGTTTGATTCTCTGGCAATAGACTGTATTTATTTTTAACATATAGCTTCCAGATTGGAGAGATATTCTTCATCTAAATGATTGAAAGGTGCATTAAATATAATTTAATAGACTAATATGATAAGTTAGAAGTGACTGCCTGATCAGGAAGTGCAAAATATAAATTTATGAAAAAGGAAGATTTAGAGTATGGTGGATCATAGAAATATCAGGGAAAATGGTAAGGGTAGGGGAAGGGGAATAAGGGAAAAGAAAAAATAGGAGAAAATGAAAAAATGGAAATGAAGTGTTTGTAAATGGAGAAGGGCAGAGGAGGTGAAGGGAGGGCAGGGACAAGGGGAAAAAATGAGAACCAAGACCTGTCATGTAAAGGTACAAGATCCCAATAATGAATGTGACTGTACTGTATACTTAAAATGTACCAATAAACTCAATGAGGAAAAAAAAAAGAAATATCAGGGAAACAGAAGGAATACAGCTAGTATCTCTATAAAATGACACAGTTTTCATTATGAATTGATTTTTGGAATTATTTAGAAATGAAACACACATGAATGATTATTTTTCAAATGCATTACAACATATCATCACCTTAATTTTCATATATTTTTCAATAAATGATATACCAGACATAAAATAATGATGGAGACCTCCGCATCTCTCTTTAGATTAATTTCATAATTTACTGAGTTAAGAACCTACTGAAATAACTTAACTTACTGAAATAAGAATGTTGTAGATTTATAACCAGAAATTTTAAAGCTAAAATCACTTCATGACAGACATGTGGTGAGCATGCACTACGTACTTAGTCCTTCCAGGTACTGAGCTACAAAGAGTAAGGTACGATGCTTTAAAATAAACATATGTGTTATTGACAAGAAGATGTGGTATTTTACCAAATCTGTATGATGTTCTTCTGTGTCCTTCAGGTGAGTATGGGCCAACAAGTTACCCTCTAATGAGAAAGTGTCATTATGAGGACAGTGAAGTTGCCGTGGTGTTGCTGATGTGGTAGTGTGAGTGAGAGTGCAAATGAAAAGGATGGAAATATGTAAAGTTTGCCAAACACTGGGATTTTGGCTAGCCTTAGTGAAATTCAAGCCAAACCAAATGGCCATTTTATAAAGATTTCTTTGTAACCATATCATTTTATCTTTGATACTCAGGGAAGTGTATGTAAAGACATTAGGAAATTTGAAGACAAAGCTACAGATTTCCTTAAAAAAGATACTTCTTTTTTTCAATTAATTGATTTGATTGGTACATTTAAGGGTATACAATGTAGTGATGTGCATCATTGGAAATTTGCACCTTTACATAATCCATCTTGGTTCTTATTTTTTCCCCATTTCCCTGTCCTCCCTTCAACCCCTCTACCCCTTCCTACCTATAAAAAGATACTTCTATCCTTCTTAAAGATAATAGATTTCATTATAGTGACAAAAGATTGACTACCTTGAAATTTCAGAAGAGAAATGCTTGACATATTATAACAGTGAGTTCTACTATTTATAATACTTAGTGAGTGGAATGGTTGGCATTGACCCCACTATTCTAGTATATGTGCTGCCAAAGTGAGTGTGAGACAAGCCCACTATACTAAAACCAGAGGTTCTACTCTTAAATACTTTGCTATTACCTCCTTATTTAAGGTTCACCCCTCCATAAAAAAATCAGTCTAGGAGTCAGTAGTATCATCAGGAGAGAGGGAGAAGCTATCATGAAGATGCATTCTTCTCTACAATTGTGAGATGGTTGTAGCCTCTAATTTTAATATCCAATAACAATGAGAATATCTTTAAGGAGAACCTAATGCTTCTAAAAACTTTGTTTCAGGTTATCCTTCCCTATCTCTCTTTACAACAGTCACTGAAATAACATAAACCCCAAGAGCACTGACTGAGCATAAATGTAAATTTATTTGTAAATATTCTTGAGCTAAATAAATGTTGCAGATATACTAATGAACAAAAAGGACAAAACTTTATGTTTTATGAAACTTATGTTTTAATAAGAAAGATAATTTACCAGAGTATTAATATGTATTGATATATTAGTGATGTTCTAAAGAGAAAAAGAAAGGGAAAGGAATATGAAGTGGTATAGGTGCAAAATTGGGTAGGAGTGGAAATTTTACATAGAAATATCTGAGAAATTTATACTCATGTAAAATAATTGTTGATAAAATAAATTAAGTAAATTATGAATTACCATAGTAACAATCCACTGTCAACCTAAGCATCACTCAATGTGTCATTCATGCATTGCCACTGAAAGTTTTTGTATTTCATAACCTACAATATATAGAGCAGGGTTCCCAAGAATACATATTGTTTTGTCTATGAAGATTTGCTGCCACATTGAATCAGTTCAGGTCATTTAAGGAAAAGGAGTTTCAAGGCAACAAGGCACTCAGAAGCCTACCTCAAGCAATGAAGAGTAGACCAACTGTTCCAAGTATTGGTTGGGAGTCAGGGAGCCTGGTCTTAAGAATCATCTCTGACACTTAACATCTGAGTAAGTTTGGTAGGGTAGTGTCTCCAGAATGTAAATGTGTTCATCACTGGAGTAGGGAAGATATAGCATTTCATTATATGTTTTTGGGAGACATTCATTGAAATGATAAATGTAGTGCTGAGTACTCTGCTGAACACCTGTAATGTGTATCATAAATGGAATTTCTTATAGCAATGATTTTAATCTGGGTAACTTTGGATACATAAAGACATTCCTGAGTATCGCTTAATATCTATGTCCTTAATAATCTGCCCTTGAACATGCATAATCAAAGCATACACACAAACATATGTTACTGTTCTGTCAATCAAATGTAGACCTAAATTATTTTTACAAAAGAACTATTTTTATATTGCCACATCTTTCCTGTCAGTTATTAACATCTAATACCCTAAAGTGGAAAATATTTTCATGTACTCAGGAGTAAGTTTAAATAAAACAACTTTTTAATAAAAAAATACTATTTAGACTTGTAGCAAGTACTAGATTTACTCTTATCCTTCACACTCATCTGAATTAATTTTTAAAAGTAAGGCCCAGCGATATAGTTCAGTGGAGCCACACTTGCTTGATGACACAATGACCTGAGTTCAATTTCCAACACAAAAAATAAAAAATGTGGACAATGGTATTTGAAATAACAACTGCAAGACACTGGAGAGTAGATCATGAAAGTTAGTGGTCACTTAAAAATGAGAAATAAACAAGAACCCCATAGTTGCTTTAGTTTACTGGCTTACAAAGTCTCTAGGCTTCAGAGGAACCCAGAGACTGGTATATTTTGTGAGTTGATGAGATAAAGGTTAGTTTCCGGGGAGAGAAAACTTCTGGAGTTCAGTGAGTTCTGTAGTATAAGAAGAGAAGCACATGGATGGAAAACTCAGGAGACCTGAAAGAGTATCTGTGTGTGCA